CCAAAAAAAAATATCAAAATAAATGGAAGAGAAAAATAAAGGAGGACACTGAGGCGTCTCCCTTTCCCCAACAGAGTAAAATCAGTGACAATTGTTACTAAATGAAGAGACGTTATAAGAGCCTGAAAATGTTAATTTTGTACATTTGTCAGAGAATTTAAAAATGTTAATAAAAAGAACACTAATGCATTTATTCTGTAATACAATATATTTTGCCCTTAGACAATTGAGAAAAAAAATTTGACAGACAGGTGATGAATAACATCGCTTGATTTTTAATGATCTCGATAAGGGTGGGTAAACAGACTAGGAGCCTGAGGTGATAAGTTTTAATAAAAATTTTGCAAGCCTTCTTTACAAACACTAATTAAAACTTCACAGCACCTCTGTTAGGTAAGTAGGTAAACAGTATTCCCATTTTACAGATGGGTAAAGTAAGGCACAGTGATTAAGAGACAGCAAGATAGTGGCACAGACAGGAACCTAAAGTTAGGTTGCAAAAAATTAAACATGTGCATAGCTTTACATGAGTAGTCTCACTGACTTGAACTGAAGTTTTATGTTAACATTATTCCTTAAGCACTTGGATAAAATGTGCTACAAAAATAAATATATCTTTTTTCTGTATGCTTCACAGAGCAACTTAGGAGTCACTGTCAAAAGAAAAATTGGTCGGTCATCTGCCTGCTCAGTACAAGAGAACAACAGACTAGATATAATCTCATTGGAGGAAATTTTGTTTTGCTACTGACTTGAATAGGGCCAGAATTTCATCCATTGTCTTTGACTGAAAGTATTGTTTCTCTCTCTCTCATTCAAAGTCAACAAGATTATATCAATCCTATGCAGAATGTCCATTTTTCACAATAGCTTCTCTGGATTTCTCCATGAAGTATATAGGAAAGGGTATTTCCAGTATAGGTAGGGCTACAAATTATAGAGATACAGTCAACACAGCTCAATTTAAACAATAATTTCTTCCCTATCTTTTTAAAATATTAAAACTGAAATCATGTTTAAACATCTAATTTATCATTTATTAGCCGGGTCAGTTTCAATTGTGTTTGAAGTCAGTTTCACTTGCTAGTTCTCATGCATAGCACAATCCTGTTGCATTTGGTGTTCACAATGCTGAAATAAAATATGTACATTTTAAGTTAATATATTATGAATGATACTAGGTTCATAAAAATGTAAATCTACATTTTAGATGTAAATCTGTACAAACAGCATGATCTAGAACAGGGGTTCTCAAACTGTGAGTCAGGACCCCTCAGGGGTTACGAGGTTATTACATGGGGTCACAAGTCCTCAGCCTCCACCCCAAACCCTGCTTTGCATCCAGCATTTATAATGATGTTAAACATATACAAAAGTGTTTTTTATTTATAAGGGGGTCGCACTCAGAGGCTTGCTATGTGAAAGGAGTCTCCAGTACAAAAGTTTGAGAACCACTGATCTAGAAGAATGAAAATAGGACTGGAAGTCAGGAATTTTAATCTTGGTTCTGTGACTAACTCAGTGTTGTTTTAGACAAGTTACTTCAACTCTCTGCCTCGGTGTTCCTATTTTTAAAATGGAGGTAATACTTGTCTGTCCCCAAGGGATGTTGTGAAAATTAGTCAATGTTTGTAAAAAGCTTTCAATATGATTAGCACTGGATAAATGGTAAGTTTTATTAGGTGACAGTATCTTTTATTGAAAGACATATAGTTCTGCTCCAAAAGTGTCCTGCATAAAAATAGCAGCTTCTTATTCACAAAGATCTGCTCCTTTTATGTATTCAGAGTTGTATTTTCTCATTTTAGTCACAAAAAGGATTTCTTACTCCTGTTAGCACTACAGAACTGAGTAATTAGGAAGATTCTATTCCAGGGGTCGGCAACCTTTCAGACGTGGTGTGCCAAGTCTTCATTTATTCACTTTAATTTAAGGTTTCGCGTGCCAGTAATACATTTTAACGTTTTTAGGTGGTCTCTTTCTATAAGTCTATAATATATAATTAAACTATTGTTGTATGTAAAGTAAATAAGGTTTTTAAAATGTTTAAGAAGCTTCATTTAAAATTAAATTAAAATGCAGAGCCCCCTGGACCGGTGGCCAGGACCTGGGCAGTGGGAGTGCCACTGAAAATCAGCTTGCATGCCGCCTTTGGCATGCGTCCCATAGGTTGCCTACCCCTGTTCTATTCCATATTGTGCTTTAACAAAACCATTGAATAAATTCCAGTCAGTTGCTCCTGTTTGAGATGGCACAAGTGTCACCAAAGATGTTATCTGGAAGCAATAGGGTTACACAGATGTCACAGAGTATAACCTGGCCTGCAAAACCTTTACTATTTGTGATGATGCACAACATAGGGGGACAAAAAACATCATATTTGATCAAGAAACTAGGGACACACAAATATGGAACTCCCTTACAGCCATCCTTCCAAGCAGAATTGTACTCAGTTTGTGTGCAGTAGGTGTGTGTACAGCAACTGGCACACTAGTCTCAACACAAATAATAAACATCCTTCCTATATCAACTACTTGATGGTCCAAGGGGTACATCTAGAATGTAGTATGGAGTACAGTTGATATGCCCCAGAAAGGCATGCCACATCCATTAAGACATATCACAAATGGCAGCACTCTACAGGTAACAGAAGTAGAAATGCAATTACTGTTTAGCTGTTACTGTTAGCGTACAGAAAGTATGCAGACCCTGTTATAAATCAACTGTTTCATGATACTTTGGAATTGAAGAAAATATAGAATACAGAATATTAATTTTATTAATGTAGTACATTTTATTGAATATGTTTAATAGAAAGGTTTTCAGGCCAAAAAAAACAGTATTTGTTTTCCAGTGAAAGGACTGTGTTCACATTAGCTACTTCATGTTTTTATTCATAAAGTGCCATCAGTATGCTCAGTTTTCAAACAAGGAGACATAACTTTTGCTCCAAGGAGAAACGATGACCTAAATATTAATATTGTATTGTAATTCAGAAGATAGCATTGCACAGATAAAAGGCAGCTGTGAAGGGCATTAAAGTATATCTTTCACACTTCAACACACCTGTGAGTGATTCAGGCATAGAGGGAGGAAAAAGTGCTCTGGTTATCACAAAAACTAGCAAATCCGAGAATCAGTCTAATTCACTTGCTCACGTTCAAATTCCAATGAGCACAAACCAATTCTATGATGTGAAAAACCACGGGACCCACTTCGAAAGGAAGACATTTGATACTCATTAAATGTAAGTAACAACTAATAATCTACTTCCTTTGCAAATCTGCAAAATGCAATCCGGGCCGTCCCGCCCTGCCCCACCCCGCACACAGCTCTGAGAGGGACAGAGGAGAAGGCACAGTCGGTGCAACTCTGCAGGGTCCTAGACGAGAATAAGTGTACGCGCAGAACCCACCCACTACCAACGCCCCAGGACTCCTGTACCCCTGACGCCTCAGCCCCCTCCCCCGAACCCCCTCCCCAGTGCCCAGCTTCTCTGGGGTCCCAGCCGTGAGCGGACCCCGGGCCACTCAGGGATGGGCGAGGGAGGCGCAGACACGCCGGGGCGGCAGGGACTAGCGGAGAGCAGGGGGTCGCACTCACCCGCTGACTCTTTATTCCACGTCCGCAGGGAAGGGAGGGAGGGAAGGAGGGAGCAGAGCGGCTGTGGGTGACGGGAGGGGGCGTTAGACCCGCCGTAACAACAGGGAGCGCGCGCCGGTGATAGGGGCGCGGCTGCTCACGCCAAAAGGGCGGTCCCAAAAGAGACGCGAGGCGGGGCTTAGGTTAGGAGGAGCGCTCGGGGGAGACCGCTGGGGCAGCACGCGCCAGGAGGCGGGACTAGGAGGGAGAAGCGCGCTTGCGCGCGCTCAGAGACGAAGACGGGGGGAGAGAGCGGACTGCGCGAGCCAAAGGGCGGCGCTATAACGTTGTCTGAGAGCTGCCCCTCCCCCTTTCTCAAGAGCGGTTGGTCGGCGGTTGGTCCCGGCGGAGCTCGTTTATAGCTCCCCTCGAGGGCCTATTTCAGGCCGGGGCTTTACAGGCCTCACACATCCATGACCAATGGTCCTGCCTCTCCTCCCCCCATTACCCGTCACGCCATGGCTTGGCCTATCTGGCAGCCGTGTACCTGGGCAGCTGCTGCTGCTAAAAATGGCAGTGCCGCAGGGAAGGCAAAGGCTTTGCTTGGGAGCGTAGAGAGCCTTGTATGGTACACCCCTCCCCTCCCCCCGGGCTGCTGTGTGTCTGTACACGCCTAAGCAGTGCCTCGCTAGTGTGACCAGATGTCCCGATTTTATAGGGACAGTCCCGATTTTGGGGTCTTTTTCTTATATAGGCTCCTATTACCCCCACCCCAGTCCCGATTTTTCACACTTGCTATCTGGTCACCTTATGCCTCGCTAACCCGCGCTGCTAGTTGCACCCGTACTGGGGTGGGGAGTGCAGTGTATATGCCACATGCGGCCTCCAGCGTAGACCGGCTGCATGTTGCTCTTTAGCCTCAGAGTGTGGGGAAAGCACCAGGGTGACCAGATGTCCTGATTTTATAGGGACAGTCCTGATTTGGGGGTCTTTTTCTTATATAGGCTCTTATTTAGGGTTACCATACGTCTGGATTTCCCCAGACATGTCCGGCTTTTTGGTCCTCAAATCCCTGTCCAGGGGGAATTTCCAAAAAGCCGAACATGTCCAGGAAAATAGGAAGGCATAAGCCAGGGTTTGCCCGGCCCCGGTATGACCCACCGGGTCCCCAGCCCAGCCACCCCGGCTACATTGTAGCAAGCTCGGGCAGGGGGAGGACGGGGCGCAGCCCCAGAAGGCGGCAGAGGGGCCGCTGCTGCCCCCGCAGCCCGAGCAGACCGCGAGCCCCACCCGAGCCCGCAGGACCATGGGGAGGCCGGGCCCAGCCGGCGGCTCTGGATTCCCTCGTGGGCGGGGACCCCCCAGCCACTGGGGGACCCTTCCTGCAGCCTCATCACCCCGGGAGCTGTTTCCAGAGGGGACAGACAGGCCAGGGATCTGTTCAGCAGCGGCAGGAAGGAGGCTGCGGGGCAGGGGAGTGCGGCAAGTACCGGGGCTGCAGGGACCCCCGCCGCCCCGGTCACCGCTGAGCGTCCGAAGTCCCCGCCAGGCAGAGGCTGCCGGGTGAGCAGGGCAGGCAGGGGGATTCATAGAGGCTGCAGAGGCAGGGGGGGGCAGAGGGTGCTGGGGCGGTGGGGGGGCTGGGGCCCCGAGGGGGGCGGGGGCGGG